GCAACAGCCAACTTCATGGTTACCAATACAAATTTTTTGAAGCTTGCTTTCTGTTCTTGGTGCTTGTGAACTGATGTATGGACAGTGTTCCAGCTCTGTAGCGGCTGTTGCAGATCCATTTCAGTAATATTTTGATTTATTGTCATTTATCATGAAGTCAGATGATGATGTCCATGGAAGATCGTGGCGGTGATGGCAGGGGGCCTATGCACACTGCAAGGCCACAGTAGTTAGAATTACATGCCTTTATTTGCCCAAGTGTTTACATTTCTCTCACCGTCCTCAATTCACCTATCAACTCCGGACTAAAAATACTTAGGAAATGCATGAGTGGGGAATACAGACTGTTAGAAGGAGCAGCAGAAATAAGGAAAAAGGTAAATTTATGACTTCACAGTCAGGAACTCCAGGAAAGCAGAGAAGACACTGAAGTAGGCATATGAAGTAGAAGAAGTTATGTTCATTAAAGCAATAAGAATAAAGGGGATAGTTCTGCTAGATAGACAAAAAAAAAAGGCTGTGAAATAAGGCATATGAAAAGTGTCATTAGTTTCTCAGCAATTAGAAAAAAGATGATAGAAGAAAGGGAAGGGAAAGTGGGGGGGACGACTTTCAAGATAAAGGAATAAAGCTTATGCCACTAAACAGAAATAAACACAGCTAATATATTGAACATATTGTTCCAAACGTTTTTCAGCCTCTCTTCTCCCTGTGCAATAATTTTATATAAAAATATAATGCATCATCCTCTTAAAGATGGAAATATCTTCTCATTTGTAAGAAAAGCAAATAATCCACCTAGCAGCAGCAGAAAAAAAAAAACACCCTCACATTACCTAATGGTGAGGTGGCTAAACTGGCAGCATTTGTCAGCCTGAGTTGATTTAGTCTTTGTCAAAGCAAATATCAAAACCACATTTTTGTTTAAAATCTGACTTGTGACATCTGCTTACCTATTTATAGCTGATAAAGTTCTCACAGAAAGCCACAGTTAGTGCTATCTTATCTTTCAGTAGGCAAAGTGCTGTTTACCTTGCATGGGCTCAGCATTCCTTGTTGTTTCCACCGGCAGTTTAATTAGGATGCATGTTCACCCAACAGAAGCAGTGAATGGAGTGGTAAATAATAGTTGACAGAGCAGTCTGAAGCATTTCATTATCAGTGGCTTATTATAATCACTGTAATTAAAAAAAGATAATAAAAGGTCAAACAGGACAGTAACATAGAACAGAGGCTTGCTGCTCACCAGATAATTTGCTTTGAGATTGATTTTACCACATCATTCACAGTTGCATCAATTCAGTCTTCTTAGAAAAAGCTCCTTGTGTATCAGCTTAAAATGATCCAATTATCATTATGTTAGGTCATTTGAGATACCTTAAATGGAATTACCAACGTACACAATTTCGATACTTGCATTTAACTGGGCAGTGCTTTAACCTGCTCTGGTGAATTCTGGCAGCATGAAGCTATACTAGCCATCTATTTCTGTAATGTTTTTAAACAATCTGCAGTACTTCCCATGTAGAAATATCTGCTTTGCATGAAACATATATAGCCATGATCCTGGGACAAGCAGATGAACCGTGGCAGGTGAGAATAACAGCAAAAAACGACAGTGGTTCAGAAAAGAAATCCTCGCCTATAAGGACTTCACACCTCTACGGCTGCCCTGTCTCACCACTCAGCGCTGCTACAGACCCACACTTTCCAAAACAGATGACATTCTTCTCCTGTGTTGAAACTTTTCCTAAAGGCTGGCTCTGAGACGTTACAATTTCCAGGAAATTAAGAAATTTAGCTTGGGATTAGCGGTTCCTTCCTCACTGAGCTTCAGATGTAACACTATTACGAGACTCATTCTCACAGCAACATTCAAACTGTTTCCAGATATACATATGGCAATCCATATCTATTTACCCAAAAGCAACCACATTATGTATTTCTGCTTCCTCTTCATTTACTGAAAATAGTGATGGATTTCTTTATTCATTGAAATTCCTTAGTATAAGGTAACATACCAAACACATCCTTTGCACAATTCCTCTGACTTCAGTGTTACACCAAAACCTTTAATTCCAAAAGAGTTACAGTCTTACACAGATAAATTGAAGTATCATACCATTTCTTGATCAAATTCCTGATTCTCCATGGGAGTTGTTCTGTCTTTTTTACTCCCAAGGCACTCCAAAATAAGCTGAGAATTCAATGCCTTAGAGTGCCAGACACAATTTTCCCAACTCAATTATTTTTTATTTTAACACATTTTTGAAAATGTAATATAATCATTATTACACTTTCTTGCATATGCTATTAATTACATCAACTAAAACTACTACTGGCATGAAAAATACAGACCATCATGTGGGTAAGAAAAGGGAAATTGGAAGTTAATGAAACAAGAAAATGCAGTACACTGAAGGGGTGGATGAAGTGACTGTGAGAAAGGCACCTTGGCATCTACGGCTGTACACAAACAGTCCCATCAAAGGAGGAATATTCACCGTCAGCTACATTTGTCTTAGCCACGGGATCTGCCAGTTAGTACACGCAGTGCAGGATGCACTTGCCAAATACTACAACCAGTTGGTTGATCTAGTTACGGAGAAAGGTCTTGCTCAGCCTTAACTGGGCCCTGATCTACTTTACTGCAAGCCTGACTTGCAGCGGTGATTTTCTTAGTGAAGACTTCACTACAGTTTCTTACTGCTAAGCTTTGGGCCATAAACAAGCAACAGCTATGATAAGAATAGACCATGCAGCACCAGCATGGAGCCAGGACAAGGCAAATATTGCCAGACCTTGATGTTGCAGAATCTATCAGTTATTGTCAAGTCTCCTTGGACGCTTTCACAACCTAGGGATGAGATAAGAGGATTTCTTTATCTTGAAATCTTTTTATTGTGGTTCTATGGATAGCATGACCTTCCGCAGAGCCAAACACCACGTATTCTAGATTTGGCGCAGTTTGAAAGTCAGGAAGTTGAGCTCAGAGTGTATTACCATGCCACATGTGATCACAACAGCATATGTTTCTTTGTGTTAGCTGTGTTTGCTTGACTTTCGCTTCTTAAACATGGCAAAAATAGCCGATGTCATTTTGTACCAACTGAGGCAGCAAGACTGATTCACAGAATGAGTTGGAGAGACTGGGAGATGTCACATTGCACGTCTTGATAAAGAGTATTTTAGTTGCTGGATATTCCAAACTTGATAGATTTATCAAGAACCTAAATCTTGAAATTGCCTTGCTAGCTTTATGGCAAAGAATCGGCTCATTAATGCAAACATATAAGAGAACATAAGCTAAGCTAGGGAAATACTGACTCTTTTACAAGCTAATAAATTGAGAGCCAAAGGGTGACCTTGCTCACAAGATGCTGACTGCAGCCTGTATTCTGGGTTCAGTTCCTGGCTCCACTTCAGACTTCCTGTGTGGGCTTTACCGAGATGTATCTATGCCTTGCTTCTCTATTAAAAAGAAAGACCGAAAAGACAATCCATTTGGATTAAGGTTTGTCTCCCCACAAGAGCATGTGAAACACTTAGCAGAGCAGCATTCTGTCCTTAACAGGAGCATCAGTGCTGAACAACGCAAATACTGAGCAACCATGTTCGTAACAACATAGCCCATATTTCTATAATGACAGGTGTCTTTTCTTTGTGAATGCATCTGTACTGTCAGGGTCTTCAGGTGTGTATATTTATCTATATAAAAGTGACTTACATTTATAAGGGTTTTATTTTCTTTTTAAAGCAAATACACTTCACTTAATCTGTGTTTCAGGCATCACAAGTTGGGTTTGGCTGACAGCTGTCAGGATCCTGCAGACAGCAATAAACACTACTCTGCAATAATAACTATCAAGTTTTAATATTAAAAAAAATACATCCACAATATTTTGTATGACTGTATTTGTAGACTTTGGAAACAATTTATTATCAGAGTCACTTACAGCATACTACCTGCTTCCTCAAATTGTAAATCAGTAATAAGGCCATCATTCTTGCAGAACACGCAAGCCCTGGCAAACCAGATAGGTTCCCTGTAAAGGAAACTTCATACCATTTCCATACACTTAATGTAACCCAGAAATATTTTTCATACACTTAAACTACAACTTCAACTTTTGGGTACATTAATTTAGTCACTAGCTGAAAACGTAATGTGAATTGTAGTTTTCCTACTGCACCCTTCTTAAACTATTTCTGCAGTTATTAACATGCAACAAATCAACACATCTGGATTTTCATAGATTTTTTTTTTTTCCCCATTAGTACTTAAATATCATAGTTCCAAGCCAGATGGGGAGCTAGGTGCTTTTGAATATTTAAGGTATTTGCGGTAAAACAGAACACTAGATTGTGTGAGTGTCCTCATCTTTTTCTGTGATGTAGAAAATGATTCAAAGAATTAAATTTAAAGTATAGAAAACAAACAAACAAAAAAATCTAGTGATTCACATCAGAGATCAAAACAAGTACCTCATCTGAATTCACTTTTTAATGCATTATACTTTTCATATTTACAGAATGAACTGGTATTCAGAGTGCTTAAGTGTAGTTTCTGAGATATCTTGAATAACTTTGCTCATTAGATACATTGTCTATTTATGGAAAAAAGAAAAAAACTTAAATACTCTCCTGAATTTCTAGTTATCTGCTATTTTGAGTCTCTTATTATTTTTATGACATATGTTCACTAACCGGCCTTATTTTAAATTGGAACCTCATTAATTGAAAGAAGTTTGTTAGATTTCATTTATGTTAAAAAGCACCTAACAACGTTCAGTCAGCTCCTAATATTCTTACCTCTTATTCTACAAACAAAGTCTCTATTAAAATAGAAATAGGTTGAGAAAACACTTGAAGATGGTTTATTTTTAAATTCAAAGACATTGACACATTGTGCTAGACAAAATCTTGACACTTAATTGAAACTTTTAAAAAATTAAATCCCTGTCATGAATAATATTTTCTTCTTTTCCTCTCCTAGGTATGAACTTCATGTTTTCTCCCTGAAACTAGGTGACAGCCAAAGAGATCAAGATGGTCCCAAATTACTCTACTGAAGAAACCATTAAAAGGATCCACGTCGACTGTCCTGTTTCAGGAAGGCACAGTTACATCTACATTATGGTTCCAACTGTTTACAGCATCATCTTTATCATAGGCATATTTGGGAACAGCCTGGTCGTTATTGTCATTTACTGCTACATGAAATTAAAAACAGTAGCCAGCATCTTTCTTCTCAACCTGGCACTGGCTGACTTGTGTTTTTTAATAACTCTGCCACTCTGGGCAGCCTACACAGCCATGGAGTACCAGTGGCCTTTTGGCAACTGTTTGTGTAAGTTAGCATCTGCGGGGATAAGTTTCAACCTGTACGCCAGCGTGTTCCTCCTCACCTGCCTTAGCATTGACCGCTACCTGGCCATAGTTCATCCCGTCAAGTCCCGAATTCGACGCACTATGTTTGTTGCCAGAATAACTTGCATTGCCATCTGGCTTCTCGCCGGCGTGGCCAGTTTGCCTGTCATCATTCACCGTAACATATTCTTTGCTGAGAACTTGAACATGACAGTCTGTGGTTTTCGGTATGACAACAATAACACAACGCTCCGGGTCGGGTTAGGTTTATCCAAAAATTTGCTGGGCTTTTTAATTCCTTTTCTGATCATATTAACAAGCTACACCTTAATTTGGAAGACCCTGAAGAAGGCATATCAAATTCAAAAAAATAGGACCAGAAATGATGATATTTTTAAGATGATTGTAGCAATAGTATTTTTCTTCTTCTTTTCCTGGATTCCTCATCAAGTGTTCACTTTTCTGGATGTATTAATCCAATTACATGTAATAACAGACTGCAAAATCACTGATATTGTGGATACAGCTATGCCCTTTACCATTTGCATCGCTTACTTTAACAACTGCTTGAATCCTTTTTTCTATGTTTTTTTTGGAAAAAACTTTAAAAAATACTTTCTTCAGCTAGTAAAATACATTCCACCGAATGTCAGTGCACATCCAAGCCTAACAACAAAAATGAGCTCTCTCTCATATCGGCCACCAGAAAATATACGCTTGCCCACTAAAAAGACTGCTGGGTCTTTTGACACCGAGTGATGCGTTTTGCAATACACGTTTTTTGAACAACCTTGTGAACGAAGCAGCAAGAATGACAACACTCATCTGCAGTCCTGCACGTCACAGCTTACTGCTCATTACAGAAACATTAGAACACCTCAGAGAAGTCATACTGTAAAGATTCAGCAGTGGCCTTTTATTTTACATTGTGAAGAGGACTGCTGGGTTTTCATTTTGTTTTTCTTTACTGAAAGCAACATAAATGGTGGACAGGCATGTCAGAGTTTCTGTCAGCATCCCATCGTTTACTCAGAACCACAGAAGAAGGGTAGAGAAAACTGCTAACTTACATTCAGAGGTTTTCTTAAAGGAAAAGCTTGTATAAATTACATTAATTAAGACCTGTTTCACACATACATGAGCTATTCCAAATTTTGTTCAAGGAGCTGATAGAGCTACACTGCTTGTTTTGTTGGGGTTTTTTAAATGACATAAATGTCATATCATATTTATAATATATTTTCAAATATATGCTATATATAGAGGCCCAATTTTGAACTCAAATGGAAATTTAAGGTCCTTGAAATTGGTCTCATTCTGATTTACGCTACTATTTTTCATTTTTAAAATGGCAATTTTTTCATAATAATATATGCAATAAAGTGCAGATTTATTTATTAAATATAGAATATATTTTTAGATTTATATTCATACTCATAGATTTCAAACATTGCTTCATAAATGTACATTTATATCCCAGTGAGTGTTTTTATAGTAGTTTAAAATAAGCATATATATAAACACACACAAAAAAGGGGTTCACTTAAGCTTTTCTCATTATATGCCACACTGACTTCAAAGAACATGACTTATGGAGTAGGTTGTCTCCGTACTCGATTAACTAAAAGTAAAATTCTGTATTTGAAAACATGAGTTCTGAGACAGAGGTGATCAGAAATAAATTTTACCTAATTTTCTCAATTTATACAAAACTAAGCCTAGAGTATTTGCTCCCTGTAGAACTTTTTTATGTGTATGGAATGAATTCAAATTTATGCTAGCATAAATCAGAACAAAAGTCTGGCTCAAACTCTCCATACAAATGAGCAGGGAAAGGTCATAAGCAGTGTAGGAAGTTTCAACTAATGATATCCTCATATATATCCTTTTTACCTCAAATAATGAACTTCAGAAAATGTTAATTCTTGATTCAAACTCATTTATTGTCTTCAAAGATAAATGAGTTCATAAATACTTTTCAACATAACAAAACTTAAGAAAAATTCCAAAACTTTACATATATCATGTAGACAGTTATGACCCTTGAGAATTTGCAGTATTTATAATCTCCCAAATTATACATCTAATGTGGCTTTGGCTTAGGTAGCAAGTGGTTGGATTATCCATATTTTCTGATTATGAGTGTCTTGCCTATACACAAATAATATTTTAAGTTATTTTTTTTACTTCAGGAAATTATTTTAAATCAAAACACAACAAAAAAGTTATTTCTGTAGTCTAATACTTTTTAAGAAAAAACAGGACTACAACCAGGTCTGGCAATCTTGTGCCTCTTCCTGCTCTTTCATTCACTTAAGTTTCTTCAGTTTTGCCTTTGCTCTTCCAGCTGCAAAACGTGAACAATCTCTACTTATGTCACAAGGCACTGTGAGGATTCACTAAAACTCCTAAAGCTGTATGTTGGAAAAAAACGCTCATTCATTAAAGGTTTAGATTAATTTAATTGCAAGCTAGTATCTCAAAATTTGAAACCTGAGTGTGTAGCTTAAAGACATAGTTAAGTTATTCCTATTATATATAATGCTTTATATTTAGCTTGTACCTACCCTTACATGTGCACACAAGACAGTCATTTGTTAAAAATTACTGTGGCAATAGTTCCACGCGTTATAAATAGCATCCAGAACAGTACCACCGCCTCAGCACTCGCTAAGCTGACGAAGAATTGACAGAGCTTGCCATTTATCTATGTGGTATTTCGCTCCTGTGCACAGCGTGCACAGGCTGAGCAGTATCCGCAGTTTTCCCTGGCAGAAGCAGCTCCGTCTCAGACATAATTTAGTGTGCTGTGCTTGCCACCTGCTGGATGCAGCCCCAAATTTGGTTTGCATCTCAAAAGTTATAACAGGAAGACACAGCAGTGTTTCTCTGCCTCCCAATGGATCTGGAGATCCTTACCTGTAGCAAAACTCCTGTAGAAATGAAATACAAATTTATCCATCTGGGAGGCAGTTAGCTTACTTGGCAGAGGCCAAGCAAGCACTTTCTCTCCTGCCAGTCCCTTTGGTCACTGCTGAAATCCAGTGCCCCCAGTGACCACAATAGGTAGCTCATTTGCAAAACACTGATTGCATTATAAGAGCTTTCCCAAAGAGAAGAAACACATATGTATGAATATAAAAATTAAAGCGTATTTGTGCAAGTGATAGCTGGAAGGACTCGTTTATCACCAAGAAGGAAAGGAAGCAGAATAAGTAGTGACCATGAACGATAACAACAACTGTGTTAAAATGGAAAACAGAAGAGAGGCCACTGGTTAGTGATTTTGATCGTTTCATGCCAGATTTTGCATTTTTTAAGAGACTGTGTATCCTGGGCTGCTGGTGTCACCTGTGTCATGGGAGAAATTACAAGCATGCACATTCGGCTGGCCTGCTGCAGGAAGGGAATGCAGCTGGTGTGCTTTGAAGGCAAGACTGACCTTGCATTGATAGGCAAAGAAAGTGGAGGGCAAAGCTGCTGTTAAGTAGTGCTGGGAAATTTTTGTTCTCCTAAGGGATAGGAAAGTGGTCATCAGCTACCAAATATAGTGATTCCCAGTTTAGGATTACCTTAAAAAAAAAAAAAAGAGAGAGAAAAAAAAAGAAGAGGCACATCAATAGTTACTGAAAAGTATCCACAGAGAAAACTCTCAAACAACTAACTGGGCAGCAGCAGAGAGCGAATCCTTTCAGAGCACAAGGTACAGCCACATCCTACAGTTTCAGGCATCTCCACGAAGCCCCAGACTGACAGCTAACTGAAGAACGCCCATGTGCCTCAGCACAACCAAACCACTTCCATCAGGCATCTGGCTGCAATGAATGCAGGTGCTAAGAAACACACTGTTGCTGAGCCCAACGCTCCCCTGCCCTCCTCCTTGCTGAAAACCCTGTGCTGGCACTTGTGCTTGGGGTGTGCAGAGCAGCAGTGTGACAGAGTGCAGGAGTGGGCCACTGTCGTGGACCCTTGGCTGTATAGTCTCTACTAAGGGGCACGTAGGAGATGGTCAGAGTATCCTTCGGTCCAAGAACCTACTCCTTACCAACAGAAGAGGAAGGAGTAAGAATTGGCTTTATAGGACTTCACCATCTTCGGGAACTTTGGGTTGAGCCATCTTAATTTATTATCAAAATAAGAACTAGCTCTGTATGTTTAAGAACAACCTCCCACTATCTTAAAGAACACAAAGTTAATTAAGATGCAGTAGCATGCTGTTATTGTAAAAAGTATCCAAAGTGCTTTTCATTCTCAGGATGACCAAAGTAAAATACTTGACAAACTCTTAGTCTGTCCTTGTACCCTCCTGGTGTGAGGTGCTCCAGCCAGTAATAAGGACAGCATACAGCCAGCCCTAAAGAGAGGGATCTCTACTCCTAATCTATAACAATTATACTCTGTTGAGTTGTTTGAATGAATACTTTCTTTCTGCTGGCAGAATAATTACTAAATCACATTATGTTTGGCATCTATGTGCATATTTATTTCTATTTATGGTGCGATAGTACTTGATATGACTCATACTTCACGCTCTGCTCTATAATTGCTTGCCCATTATGTGCCTATCCTAAATCATACTATATAATCTGCACTAGTTAGCCTAAATTCCAACAAAACAATTACAGATACAATAGGGATTAATTTGGCTTCTCAGTTTAACAATTTTATCATGTTTATATTGTTAAGATGTTGCAGAGTAAGTATGAGGCCAAGAGTCCTTTAGTTTACCAGAACTGCTATTTGGGTGATGGTTTTCATCTCCTTGAAGCTGTGACAGCAGCAGGTAATATAGTGGGATTCCCTGGTTTGGTTTAGTTTTGCTTAAGCCATGATTTATCTTACTGACCTTTTAACGTATATTGAAGTGCAGGTAATCCCAGGGAGAAGTTTGCAATGGAAAGGAGAAACAAATACTTAGGAGGAGGCAGAAGAAGGCCTAAAGCAGGGACTTGCTGATTTGAGAAATATTTAATGTTAAATGTAAATATTTTATCTTTTCAACAGGTATTTAACAAAAATTTAAAAAAAGAGAACCTAAGAATAAATCTGTCAGCTAAGTAGTAAAATCTTCCAGAATGTTTTGAGAGGCTCTTTTAAGTATCTTAACAACATCCTGCTCAGTTTGGAACACATCAAACCATTCTTACCCCACTCACAAGGTCAGGGTCTCCAGCTCTGCTCTTCTACATCACATTACAGGCTTGGTCAGACCATCATCCCACAAGCTTGTGCAAAGTGTTGAGGCTGTTCTATCAATCACTGAGTCCATTCCAACAGTGACCTCACTACCAAGGCTGAACTAACAAAACCTCAATGTTAATGGCAGAGCTGTCAAGCTCATTGTCACTGGCGAGTTCTGCAGATGTGGCCAGACACTCAATAGGTACAGATAACATTTGAGAACAACGTTGTATAATCTTTTTAGTGGAGTAGTGCCATAGCCTGCAGCTTTCAAAGTATTCGGTAAATTGAGTAACAAGAACTAGATATTATTTTCTTTTAAATATTTTCCTGCAGTTGTAAGTTGTGGTGTATGGGTTTTTTTTTTTCCTATTTCAATAGAAATAGTTTTATATTGTAGAAGTTTATTACTCTTATATAAGAACTTTTCATTGTGTGAAGTATTACTAAAACATACACATTGTCAACAGATGTCTTTGTGGCAGCCATCTGCACCACTGTATTCATCCACCCACAGCAAAGAGAAACGTTTCTGTATTGTTGTAAGTACTACACTATTGTCAGTATGTCTATAGGTATGTGTCTTAGGCAATATCATTCCTGCCAAAGTATTTCTATTTAGTGCTGTAATATTTTATACCACCATTTCTCATTCCTTCTAATCTGAAGTCTTACCCAGCTCTCTCTGAACTCTTGAGCTGCATAGGCTGTATCCACAGTTCTTCGAGGAAAGGACACCTGGCTAGCTCCAAAAATCACAAGCAGAACAGCAGTTCAGTAGTTCACTTGTGTTTCCCAGAACTGGCTAAGATAAAGTTTCCACAGAGTGGATGCATCACAAATTGCTA